ATCGAAAATATAGTTTACAACGTCATTTGACCAGGCATGGAAAACACAGATCCAAATTTGGCAGAAGAATAATACGGGATTAAACTGATCTGCATTAATTCCATGAGTTATATATAAATTAACTCTTCTACTCGCGAATTTCGAGATTTATATGAATTTTACCGCCGGAGCGGCGGCATCCGAGTGTAACGGTTAAAACAAATATTTTTGTATGGCGTCGAGCTCTGTGTTTGCAATATTCGAGAACCTCCAAATAAATAACCGGAGATCAAACAACGATTAAATAAATTTTAAAATACAAGTTTCTTATTAACCACTAGCAAACCGGGCGAACTCCGTTTCACCATCATATGGTTTCATTTTATGTAACATTTCGTTTGGTGATTAAAAGACCAAGAAAAAATTACCTGCTGTTGAAATTGAATGAAATTTGCACAATACACGTGATTGATTTTGATGGTTTCCAATTGAAATGTTAGGAAACGAATAACTTGTTTTTTTTTTCTTTTTTTACACAATTTCACAGTGAACATAATGCCGGTTTGTCACATGAATTAACTGAGCAGAGAACAAAGAGTAGCTGTCAAACAAATGGGTAGCAGTCAAACAAAAAATATTAGTTTGTAGTACATGCTAAGTATCAGAGATGGCGCTGTATGTGAAAAAAGCAAAAGTGCTTTCGGCTTTTTTCTGTTGAATCTTTCTTCAATGTTCATTGCTATAAACCTCACAGAGTCCGAGACCATTCCAACGAATGCAAAATCGTCGAAATCGGTTCGTGCGTTCTGGATTTATATAGTCAGGAAGGAAAACTCGACTTAATTTTATAGAATAGATTATCTTTTTCCATGAATTATTTTCAATGTTAGTTATACATATCCAATTTTTATCTAAAGTTAATTAATGTTAATGTTAAAATTTATAATTGTTTTGAAAATATAATACCTACCTCAAAAACATCATGTAATATTTTCATTTCAAACATTATATTATTTATTTGTTATAAAATATGAAACCCTACTCTCCAATTTTGTATAAATTAAATGGTTATTGGTATAATAAAAAGAAGTATAGTATATTCTCAAATATTTAAATATTGATCAACATGTAGTTTTATTTATGTTTTACAATAAATATTATATAAATGTTAAGTCATATTTTAATTTGAACTAAATAGTGTCTGTGAATGGAGACGTCGTATAAAAGTAAGTAATAATTAAAATATAAATGATGTATTTTTTAATATTAATTTAAAATTGTATTTTTTCAGGTACTTTGCAGTGCATTTTTGCTTAGATATTTTGATGCTTCTTTGTGGCTCTATGGTAAGAGCTTTGGCCTTGCAACCACATGGTTTTCGGTTTGATTGATACCCACTTAAGCCCGGCTGACATCAAGCAGTACTGATATGCGTTTTTATTTGAAAGCCCTTTATGAGAATAGCCCTTCTTAAAATGTTGCACCAAATTATAGATGCAACTGTTTAGGTAGCCTTTTAAAGAGAAGTTTCTTCATACCGAGTGATAGAATTTCTGGGAAAATAATATACAGACACGTCAATATTATTATAAAATACTGTATTTATTATAGTTTTTCAATTGGTTTTTTATATATTATTTATAATTTTTGATATGATTCGCATATGTTGTTTAATAATATTATTAATTGTAGACAAATTATTTATGGTCCTTATGTGGATGCACCTAGAGAATATCTTGTATGAAAGTTTGCATACATAGAAGTCAGTATTAATTTTTTAACTCTTTTTTGACTAACTATTAGCATAATTGTTTAATATTAATTTAGCTAATATCAATGATTATGTAATTCATATCATATGTGATTCAGGTTTCATCAACATCATTTTTTACTTTTCGAAACTGAGGACATTGAAAATCATAATTTATCTGCATTTCCACAAATTCTCATGTAACATTTAACGATACTAATTTTTTTTGCTGGTTTACCACTTTAATACTAATATGCCAAAATGTATCACATTAAATTGCATGAATTTTAAAAAACAATTTTTTTTTACTAACGAAACAATTTATGGTTTCAGATTGGAACTACCAAGAATTCATGGACAACCATTCTGCATTGGGTCTTAAATCTGATATCATTTTTCTGCCGATGGTAGAAATTTATTAGATCAGCAAGGAATTTACCGATGCCATAGATGTTCTAGGACTTATAAATATCAACAAACTTTAGTCAGACATTTGAATACGAATGTGGAAAAGCTCCTCAGTTTTCGTGCATGATATGTTCAAGACACTTCAGAAGAAATGATTATTTAGACAAACATTTGTTTAGAAAACATAAAATAGTGCAGAACAAGTCGGTTAAGTTTTGTTTAACTTGGGTGTATTTAAAAAAAAAAGTTTTTGGTAAAGGGACAGGAAAACTATGACAGTGATCTTAGGTTAGACAATAAGCAATTCAAATTGTCTGTTGAGAAACTTTTTAACTAAACAATGTTGAAAATAAATTCATTATAATGGTTTAATGAAATCATATGTATATATAATATTTAGTTTTCTTACTCATTATTTTTTACAATTTAAGATTTATTTTTATATTAAATATATTTCTTCACAACCATTTTTAGGCTATTGATATTAACGTGGATTAAAAAATTTAGTCCATATTGGCCTTTTCATACCAAACTAATTATAAAGTTTATTCTATGTAAGTCTAATATTATGGGATGATATATATATTTGAAGAAATTTGCAGCCCAATCGTCGAATTTAAAGAAGATTAAAATAGATTTTTTTATTCCATTAAACGTTTCGACACTTGATGTGTGTCATCATTCAGTAATCAAACCAGGAAAAATAACAAAAAAATTAATTATGATGTAAAATGACTCACTCCATCACTACACTTGCTCTGTAACCTTGATCAGTGTTCATAATGCACCGCTATTAATAACATAAAATATAGGAGGGCAATATGTGCACATTAAGTGTCGAAACGTTTAACATAATAAAAAAAAATATATTTTAATCTTATTTTAATTCGACGATTGGTCTGCAAAATACTTCAAATATGTATCAACGTCGACAAAACTATCATCAATTTATAATGACAGAAATTATTGGGTAAAATAATATAAGATTTAAATAATATGGCATTGCTTTAGATTGTTTACGTCTTTTATAAAACTGTATAAATTTTATATCATGTTCGTTTATTTACAAAAGGCACAGAATATATAAAAAACATCAAAATATTATAATATAAGTCTGCGAAAAATTATTTGCTATTATGAATTTGTTATTTTATATTGTAGGAACTACTTATGTAAATAATCTGATTTTTATAATTATATTACATTTTTATATTTTTTATTTAACCTTTTTGCTGCGGCGTTATTTTTCGCGTCGCTGCTATACGAGCCAGCAACACGCACATGTTTTCAAAGAATTAAAAATAACAATAACAAATTAGAATTATTGATAATTGTGAAGTATACCGGACACAGAATGTCGTCTATAGACGACTCTCGTACACACAGGTCGTGGATGACGCCTATAGGCGACGGTCGTGGCGAAAGGGTTAAAGTGTTGTAAAATTTTGTTTTAAATATATTTGGAATGAATGTATAATGGAATATAAGCAAATTTATGCAAAAATATAGTTTTTCTTTAAATTATTATAAAATAAAATGAAATTAATAATGTGTCTTCATATATTGTAATTTTTCTTTAAGTTTTATATTTAGGCAAAAAACAAAGTTTACTGTTTTTAAATATTTTGAACATTCACGAAAGTCTTACAATAGTTATATGGGTAGTTGAAAAAATGTTATTTACTATCTGATTAACATCGATTTTAATTTGAAGCTTCTAAGTAAATTTGCAACAAATACAACTACCTAATAGATTAACCTAATGTTATATATTAGACGTTAACTACATGAGATCTGGGCAATGAAAATATCACCTTTTCGACTGAACAGATAAAAGTATTTTGTAAAAAAAATACTACCAATATATTTTATTAATATTTTGTGAAATATACTTACATAATATTTTATACATTTATTAATTAATTTTGGGTCTATTTACCTCTGATTGACCAATTAAAATGTTTTATGTTTCAGATACTACCACGAATTGGTACTCATCACCATCCACTACACTTTGTACTAAATGCAACCAATTCTTTTTGAATTCATATGAAAAGAATCATCATATTTGCAAGGTAACACAATTATCAGAAAAATTGGAAGATATAGTTTTTTCTTGTCCAAAATGCGGAAAAACTTACAAATCTCGCAGTTGTGTCTATCGTCATATGAAATATGAATGTGGAAAATTGCCTGCTTTCAAATGAGACTTATGTGACTACATGACATACCATAAAGGAAATATGCAACAGCATATTAAAAGAAAACATTCATGAAGGAAGAATTGAAATTATGTGATTTTTAAAAAATAAAACTAAATTATGTGATTTTTGTTTTTATTTGTTTGACGACATATGCTAGTCTCTGCTGATCCTTTCTGTGAATCTCTGCACCAATAAAATTGAATTGCTAATATTTAACCTAACTTTCTGATATGTTAGTATAAGTAAGTTATTATTTTAGTTTATTATATTATTTATAAATAAAACTCTAATTTATAGAATGAAAATATCGTAGTTTGATTGAATGAATATTTAGTAATGTACAAATTTATTGACTGAAATTGATACCTAAAATTAAAGACTGTGAGCAAGATAGACACAATAAATTTAATTATTTTATTATATCTCGAATAAAATGACAAAATATTGTGTGTCTTAATATTAAAAGTTTATTTTGTTTTATTTATAGCTTATATAAGTGATGACTATATTAATTTTAGAAAAACTCATGCTAGTGAATAGTACTTAAATCATGACAATATTTACTTTAAGCTCTTTTTAGAATTTTAGAGTTATTTTTGTTATAATTGTACTAATGTTTAATTTTGAATTAATAAAATGTAAAGGGTTTGTAATACATTTATCCATTTGTAATTTGTAACGTGACCATTAAATATAATTTTGTCAACTGTTGATTTTAGGTCTCAAAAGCTTTATAAACTGTAGAAATATATAATTATTTGATAGTATATAATTTTATAATATACATTGTATATTTATTAGGGCGGGCCAAATTGTATGGGACTGAAAAATGCACAGGTACGAATTGCGAAATTGTCTATGTGGGTCATTTCAAGAAACTTTTCCGAAAAAACCATAGCTTGGAAGTAAATTTCGAGGCAACAAAATTTTTAGTAAAGTTTTTTCTCCATATTTTGAAATTTTTGGGAATTTGCAGAATTTTTGCATAGAATTGATAGGCCTTTTATATTGTTTTGACTATGAACTTTATAATCATACGTGGTTTAATAAAAATTTTATACAAGTGTACGTAAGACTTTTGTAAGCAATATTAAATATAGATTTTCCGATTTTTATAAGTTAGTATTCAAAATAAACATATGAAGAAAAAATTATTTTAAAAAATTCGCTGGCTCCAAATTCAGTTCCATGCTAAGGTTTCTTCGTCAAAATTTCTTGAAATATATTTTAAAATTAGAATTGTGATGTGCCCTAATAGTAAAATAATTTCCCGCTCTAAAATATAGTTTGGTGTCTGATTGTATCGTTATAAAGTTATTGGTTTAATTTAACCTAATTTATGAATTTTATTAAAAAATGTAACATAAAATTTATTTTTGGCATCCATATTAGATAAGACAATAAATATAGTATTTGTGCAGGAAGAAAATTATTAAAAAAAATTACCCCTAGAACAAGTTTTGCGATGTACCTTAATGGGTAAAAAATTTGACCCGCCCTAATCTATATAATTAAGTAAAGTTTATTCATTTTATTGATATTGTAATATAAGATCTATATTTTGTATCTGTTTTATATAAAATAATACATGGATTATTTATACATGAATTCTTAAATACTACTTATATTAATGAGTTGATAGAAACATCACATTTATTTTTTACTAATCAATTATTTTTCACTTCAGGCGACCTCGGATTTTCTATAGATTATAATTATGGATTTGATGTAACAAATCAGCAAGATGGTCACCCTTATAGATGTCACTTATGTGGAAAATGTTACATGCACAAAGGAAATATGCGACGTCACATGCGATTCGAATGTGGAAAACCGCCTCATTTGAAATGCGATCACTGCAGTTATAGGACGCACCACAAACATCACCTGATTAGACACAGGAAAAACTCTTGTCCCAAAAAATAAAATTCCTCCCATAAAAAATAAATTTGGTGAAAGTAAAATGTTGGATTAAAAGCAAAAAACGGCGCCTAAATATAGAAACAAGTCATCCAAATTCACTAGCAAACTTCTTACTAATAGAAAACTATCGCCGTTGACTGAAGAGAAAATCGCCACTTGATTAAAGTCATCAATTTTCCTGATGAAATTTTGAAGAAACGTAATTATTATTTATAAGAAATTATTCATAAGAAAATAGTTAAGTAATTATTATTATTATTATTAATTTATTGTGTACATTTAGATTACTAAGTATGCAAATTTACTTAGGCGTCCTAGCTAGAGAAAATTTCCATAAATAAATTGCCAAATTGCGTATTTAATTAGTTTATCAAAAATTTTCACTCCTCAAATTATTTTTAAATTCGAACTGGTTGAACTCTCAAATATTGTAAATTTAGATCATAGCAATCTTTATGTAATTCTGATTGCTAAATAAAAGAGTTCAAAAAAAAATTAATTGGTGAATAGTGACAAATATTTAGTGTTCTAGAAGCACCAAACCAAATGTAAAGTGTTAATATTTATTTTTTTCTTGTATAAATATAATTTAAAGTATATCGATATTTGTATGAAAAATGTAGTTTTAAATTGTATTGCATTCCATTATAAATTTGACCGAGGTCAAATGGAAAAGAATAAGTATTTGGTAATAGTAATTTATATAATATAAATTAAGTAATCAAGTAATCAAAATTAAGTAATCAAGTAAATCACTTTGAAAACTTCATTAACCAATATATTACTTTTAAAATCATTCTATAAATATTTATTTGATAATGTTATTGTGTATACTGTATCTGTATATATTTTGTAGGTGTTTATAAGTTCAAATAAGAAAATAAAGTCTTAAATAAGAAGCTGAAATGCTTTAAAAATATTTTTAATTTATAATATACTTTTATTTATATAATTATATCATTTATGTTAGTTTTATAATAAAGCTCATATCTTATTTTAATAATCCATCTACTATTTTTAAAAAATTGTGAATATAACTTTAAATTCACACTATACCGAACTATTTAAACAAACTAGAGTCCTTATAGGCAATTTACTTCTAACTCTTAGACTACAAATAAGCTTAGAAGATTTAAGACAGAGACATTTAGGAATTTTAAGAATTACTAGCTTTTTACTAATATAATTCTTGAACTAATTTATGTTTGAATCATGAGAATGTAAATGAAATCTAAAATGGTAAGGATTATTATTATACCTTCATATAGGTTTCTAAAGACTTGAGTCTTTTCTTATTATATTACCTGCACAAGTAGGCTTTAATCTAATGTGATTTCTTGCACCTATCGTCAAATCTTTAATAAATATTATATTTTACTAACCAAAAACATTTTTTATTTCAGGTCCTTCCCAACGGTGGTTTACCTCTTTACAAACGAATCCTGGCACATACTGCGACAAATGTTTGACTTTTCTTCCAAATCCTGAAGAATTTTCTAAACATATTTGTCAAATTACTATAAGAACTGATGACGTTAATAGAAAGTTATATATTTGTATGCAATGTAACAAATCTTATAAAACACGTAGTTGTTTGTTTAGACACAAGAAATATGAATGCGGAAAATTGCCAACTAATAAATGTGATTATTGCGACCATTGGACGTACCATAGGAGTAATATGGTGGTGCATATGAAGAGAATGCATGAGAGGGAGAATTTGAATAAAATATTGGCTCATAATACTCAAAATTGAAATTTATAATTAATTTTAATATATCATAGTTTCTCCTACCATTAAATTGCTTTGATTCTTCATTTTTTGGGCACAAGTTGTTGGGATTTTTTTTCTTTATCATCATGAAACAGAGAAAATTATTCAATAACTTTTATAAGCTCCTCTTATTTTCATTGGAGAAATCCAGGTTCCTTAAAGCCACTTTCGATATTTATATGATCCAACTGCAACCTATGTTATATCGGAGCTTATGGTGATTAATTGCAATTACATATTTTATCATTGACGTGCAACTCTCTAATTATTTATATATAAAAGATTATATTTTATTTTATTATATACGAAATACATATCGAAAAATAATATTAATTGAGCACAATATGATCTGGAATAAATTTTGATGGAGATGAAATTAGACGATTTACTCCCCAAATGCAATTTTTCACTTCAAAGCTTCAAATCATTATTATATATTTTATTTAATAAATTTTTAATGCAGAAAGGCTAAAAATCATGTCATTTTTATGTAAAATAAATTCGTGTTGCTTATATACATGGAATTAAATTTTTGCATATCATAAAAAGTAAAGTTCTAAAACAAAAAATTAAACTAAATTTCATTAAACTAAATTTTATTCAGAATAATTTATAACAAATTTTTTATGTAATTATATTATATTACTATAGAGACTCATTGTAGTACTTATTATTAATATAAATATTATACGATTCATCATGATTAACAATTTGATTGTACAAAAGTATATTTATTTTTATCATTATTTAGTTATATATTATGTAGATAGTAAAATAAAGTATATGTTACAACAATTTCTTTTGAACCTAAAAATAAATATTTAATGTATTTTTATTATATATATGTTATTAATATTAAAAAAGAGTGCGCGTAAGGTTCACAAGCGACTGAAGTAAAACTTATTTGCTACTGTGAATAATGTTTATCAGTAATATGGTAACACTTGTTGACAACCATTATACACATTTATATAATGATAAATTATAAATTATATATTTATAATAGCATTAAAAATATGCATAATATTTAAAAACAATAATGCAATGAAAGTCATACTTCAAATATGACATGATCGGTTTGTCATTGTAATTAGCACTTACGACTTGAATCTTCATTACAGAAGTGAAGTAATTGCTTAAATGAATAATTGATTATGTTAAACGACGCCTAAACAAGTATTGTTTTTGCAACTGCACTCATGATGTTATTGTGTTTGAAGAACTTCATGTAATTAAAATTAACATACAGTTATTGACTGCTTGTAATTTTTTTACTTTTTCGCTGGCGATCTAAACTCATTCTTTGAACAGTTGTAATATCTGTCTTGTCTAAAAAATATTTTCCATTTTAATAACTTCAAATAAATCTTTAACTACAAATAATATAGAAATAATTTCTAATCAATAAACATACTAATCATTAATCTTATTAATCAATATTTTCAAGGAACGGAGTAAAATATGCTTCTGATTCAGGCATTTTTCATTAAATCAAGATTTGTAGTACGATGTAACTTTAAAATGTTTATTTATCTATGCCGATTTCCTCTATTTCATATCGGAACGCTCTATTCACATACACGAAGACTAATCACATTCGACCCGTATTAAAATGATTTCATCGAAAGCGAATGACGTTCAGTTCTGCCGTAACGGACTTCCGTTGCATTTGTACGGATTTACACCCTAGTCGCACTTGAAGAAGTTTCACTTCAAAAATATTTAATAGGTTAAAATATGATGATTTATGAAACCATTTGCAAGGCTCTGGTTTAATATAAAAAATGTAATTTTAAATAAAAATATATTACATAAATTTGTATTATTTCGATATGGACACCGTTGTATTTTTTATATTTGGTACATATTACATTTTGTTTATTCAAAACCATAGAACACACATTGCAAATTATAAGAAAATAGAGAAAAATTATTCTCATCTAAACTTAGCATGTTTTCTTCGTGACTTTTCATATAATCTCTCGTTTAGTTAAATTATTTATTGAATTTTGTATTGTATAAAATTTGTAGAGATTTGAAGTAAGAAATCATATATTATTATGATTAAAATTATGTATATGATTAGTACCCTAGTACATTACTCTAATGCCTAATCAATGGAACAATTGACTTATTTTTCTTTGTTTTAGGAAATATGGAATACATGTTACCAAACTTCAGAAATGAATATTATCCGAACCGGCAAGAAGAATGTCCCTTTAAGTGCGGAATTTGTGGAAAATTGTATAAATACAAAAGCAATATGCAACGTCATATGCGATTTGAATGTGGAAAACAACCTCAATTGAAATGTGATCGTTGCCCTTACCGAACTTATTACAAACATCATCTGAATAGCCATTCGGTGACCAGGCATCCTTAAAAAAATATTTTTAAAAAATCTTAAAAATATTAAAATATAATTTAATTCATGTATATGAAATGTAGAATAAACTATTGTGTGATGTGATTGTAAAATGTTCGAAAATAATTGAATAGTCTTGCTTTTTTACAGAAGAGCAAATTAGTACATGAATGTGTTGGTAAATTTTTCTTGAATTTTAGATTTAAGATTATTATATATGTACTTATAATGAACCAAAGAGTAGAGTCGTATTTAGTATAGTCGAAGATATTTATTATCTTGTACAATAATAGATAAATTTTCTCTATTTACCAAACGATTTTTTTACTCTATACTTTTCTGATGTATGTTGTAAAAATAAATGAATATTGATTTTAAAAATAATTGCCATAAAATGCAAAGCATGCACTGAAATATCCGTACAAATACTTAATAAATATTAGATACTTTAATTTTATATTGTGATTTGCCTACTCTGCCAAGAATTTAATAGTATAAGTTGTCATATTATAGTGTTTTAATTGTGTGACTTAATTTTAACAAACTCTGTTTATGTAATTTGTGTGAGAGAACTAACAGTTTGAGTTAGTATCCTTTCAGATATTAGAAATAAAACTAAGTTAATAATTTTTTTTAATAAACTTCCAAACGTTTCGAGTCATACTTTGACACTGATTAAAAGGATCAATCTACTAAAAATGATATAATAAATATCATTCTAAATATTAATTATTTATTATAGCATTTTTGTAGTTTTATCCACTAAAGAAAGGCCAAATTGTGATTTGAAACGTATGGAAGCCCATTAATTTTTTTATGATAATTTAGTTTTCTTTCTAATATCTAGATAGAGCATTTTTGTTCTCTATATATAAACTATTTTATATATATATATATATATATATATATATATATATGTGTGTGTGTGTGTGTATTTGTGTGTGTACTCTGATTTAAATATTGATATAAATTAATTCATGTATTACATCAAGTTAACTCATAAAACTATAAAACTCAATAGTAATAAGTCTTGTATTTATTATAAATAGTCTTAGAAACTATTGTATTTATTAATATTTAACTCTTTCGTTACGTGTGTCGTCCATGGACGACATGCAACGTGTTGGTCTTTGCTTCAAGAATTATCATTATGAGTTGTTCATGGACGACATTCATTTTACTACATGTGTCGTCCATAGACGACATACAGCGTGTCGGTCTTTGCTTCAGGAATCAACACTATGAGTCGCTCATGAACGACATTCACTCTACTACCTGTGTCGTCCATAGATGGCATGCAACGTGTCGGTCTTTGCTCGAAAATTTATCACTCTCAGTCTTCCATGGACAACATTCACTCTACTTCCTGTATCGTCCATGAACGACACACAAAGTGTCGGTCTTTGCTCCAAGGATCATCACCATGAGTCGTCCATGGACGACATTTACTCTACTAACTGTGTCGTCCATACAGGACATGCAGCTTGTCGGTCTATGCTTCAAAAATCAACACATTCATGGACGACAATCACTCTACTGCCTGTGTCGTCCATAGACGACATGCAGCGTGTTGGTCTTTGCTTCAAGAATCGACACTATGAGTCGTTTATGGACGACAATCACTCTACTATCCATCGAAGACATGCATGTCGCTCTTTGCTCGAAAATTGATTGTTATGAGTCGTCCATGGACGACATTGAATCTACTACTTGAGTCGTCCATACACTGGATACAGCGTGTCGGCCTTTGATTCGAGATTCCTGACTATGAGTTACCAAATTTATTGGTAATTCTAGTTTTTAGTTTATTAGAAGCGCATTTTTAAATTTTTCAACAAATTTTTATTGATGATAGGAATATCTTAAAATATATTTTTTTTGAACACGTTGTTCCGTATAGCAGCGGCACTGCTGTGTATTTTTCACTCTCATAACGAAAGGGTTTAATTATTATTAAAAAATTGTAAGTGCTGGAAATATTTAATATATAAATTACGTGAATTATAAAATAATTATTAAGAAAGTTATATAATTAACTTATAAATTGTAAAAACATGATATGAAAATTAATTAAAAATTTCCATAGAAAATTTACTCGAATTTTACTGAGTTAATTTTACTTATTGCTTATGGACGTGTGGAACATTAGAATAAATTTAAAATATTTCAGGAGGTTTTAAGTTGCATTTAGCATGTGCGAAAACTACAGTCAATATCAATATGTAAAATCATTTTTTAACTAATTTCATTTTTTTTTCTTTTCAGATCAATTTCTGCTCGGATTACCTCTATCTCAGCAATCTGCAACTAGAAGGACTCAAGTTGACCCTTTGCAGACCTCCAACGCTTTGTTATATCAATGTCCCCAGTGTTTTAGAAATTATAAGCATTATCCGAGTTGGTATCGACATCGAAAATACGAATGCGGAAAAGAAAAATTGTTTAAGTGCTCTCAATGTCCTGTTAGTTTTCACCAAAAGTCTAATTTGAAGACGCATATGACCATACATTATCGATAAGGAATAAAGGATGGATGAAAGATACTAAGATTATGCTTGCTGTTTTAGATTTTATCAAAATGTACTGCTTTTATACCTACTCTTATGTTAATTAACGACCGGATATTTCGGATTTCTACTTTGCGTCCCGGATTAAGCTCTTTTGTCCTGGATTGTCTCCAAATTTTTAAAATTATAGGTTGAAATTAATATGACAAAACTATAATATATGAGACCTAAAAGCAAATAATAAATACACCTTCCTGAATACTAAAAAATAAAAATATTAAAAGGGTCATTTTGGATAACACTATATTTACAACTGTCCTATATAGACAATTAGTAAATCTTTTAGCGATTATAGATGAAAAATGACATTGATATATAAATATCGAAAAATACAAAGTGCGTTTTTTCTTTATGACAAGAAGAACCAAAGCTAAGACTATTTTATTATCTGAAGTTTTGAGATTGAAATCTTTGAAAATCACATTCTTCAAAGATTTCAATCTGTAAACTTATTCTTCCCAATAATTATAAATAAGCTGAAATTCGTCACAGTGATAGTTTTTATTTGAAGTTTAAACAATTTAGTCTAGCCATTCTTGAATCAAAATAATTTTAATATGCAAGTTATAGAGTGTGTATATGCATTTGGTTCTTGAAACTTACAACATTTTTTTGAGATTCTTGTATAAAACATTTGAAATTAATAATATTTAAACACATATTATTAATTATTATCTGATATTCATCTTAATTTGGTCATTGATCTGAATTTAGATTTTTTATAATTACAATATTATAAAAAATCAAATAATGAAAAATATTATAGTTTTTGTAGATATCTTCAGTGCCCAAAATTGGATCCCAAAATTGTCTATCATAGAATGGTGATAAATTCGCTAGTTTTTAGATAGCATGATACACATTTAAATATATCATTTTTAATTAACGAAACTTATTCTTTTATATGATAAGATTTTTGTGATCATCTAAATTAAATTCGTTAAAGTATAATTTTTGTTCAATCAAAATCCTAACGATGTCAAGCCATTAAAAATTATATTTTAGTTATAAATATGAAGAATTCGACTCACTAAAATGATTAAATAAATGTAAATAAAATTATTATATATATATATATATATATAATTAGATATTATATATATATATATATATAACTATATATATATTAATATATAATAAATAAAGTACATAATATTAATACATAAAATAAAATATTACACGATCTGTATATAAATAAAAAATTAAATTTCTTATTTTAGCTATTTTTTTTATATATTTTATGAAATTTAACATTTTTATATATGATTTTATAAACATTTTAGTTACATTTATAAAATTGGGCTAATATTGTTACAAGTGTATATATGTTATAAGCTTATTGAATTTATTTATCAAATAAACATATTAAATTTTATACAATATTTTTCTATATACAATCTTGTTTTAACTTAATATTTATTGTGAATAACTTACAGTAAACATAACTTAGTATCTACATATTCTTTTAAAATTAAATGTTGAATGTTTTAATTGATTTATTTATAATTGTGATAACTTATTTTCTAGGTTCAATAATAACACTACTAAGAATATTATAATGCCGCACGAGATTTTACTCAAGACTTTCTTTTACTATTTTTCTAATATTTTTTTTTTGTATTTTTTCAGATATATCTTTTACTAAAAACTACCAGTCGCCCCCTGCAACTTCCAGATTTTATAATACTGTATTGAACACCTCAGATACACATAATATTAATGGAAAAGTATACTACAAATGTCCAACTTGCCCCAAATATTACGAGGCCAAACCCAGCTGGTATCGTCATCGAAAACACGAATGTGGAGTCGAAAAAAAATTCTGCTGCAGCATGTGTCCTATGAGATTTCATCAAAAGTCGAATTTAAAAACTCACATGTTTTCTGTTCATTCACAATAATTATAAATTGATTAATGGGCCGATTCTGCCGCAACAGACCAATGTTATGGCAAGGCCATGTTACGCTCCAACTTCTATAAATTATGCTACTGAATTATACTGAATACTGTCAAAATGCTATGTATTCAGGCGTTTTACACATAAACTGCAAGGTCACTTGTGTGTTATGAAGTGTATAACGCATAGCAACCACATGTCTGTCAATATGTGTGAATACTTCTAATTTTATATAATATTTCATTATTTGTTTTGACATGGAAAAAGGTGTTATAAACAATTTAAAATTTTGGTTTGTCGTCTATTCTGTAATTTTCATGAATAATATGTAATATAAATTTAAATTGTCGACATTATAAAAATTAATATTTTATAACAAATTTTATTTTATATTTTTGAATATCTTAAGTGGATTCTTTATTTTTTACGTGTAAGTTATCCTATTTTAGAAGTGTTTTCAATGGCGTAACGCTTAAGCGCGCTGACTTGTATGAGTTCAAGCCCCGCTTTGGACAACCTGATATCGTGCAGCACCGATGTCCATTCCACTTAA